CCCTCTCCCACTGCACACCTGCGAGCAGCCGCACGCCCCTCTCCCACTGCACACCTGCAAACAGCTGCACGTCCCTCTCCCACTGCACACCTGCAAGCAGCTGCACGTCCCTCTCCCACTGCACACCTGCAAGCAGCTGCACGAACCTCTCCCACTGCACACCTGCAAGCAGCTGCACGTCCCTCTCCCACTGTACACCTGCAAGCAGCTGCATGAACCTCTCCCACTGCACACCTGCAAACAGCTGCACGTCCCTCTCCCACTGCACACCTGCAAGCAGCTGCACGTCCCTCTCCCAGTGCACACCTGCAAACAGCTGCACGCCCCTCTCCCACCGCACACCTGCAAGCAGGTGCATGAACCTCTCCCACTGCACACCTGCGAGCAGCTGCACATCCCTCTCCCACTGCACACCTGCGAGCAGCCGCACGCCCCTCTCCCACTGCACACCTGCGAGCAGCTGCATGCCCCTCTCCCACTGCACACCTGCGAGCAGCTGACCCGCGAGCACGCACACAGGAGAGCATGCACATTCCATGCGTCACCCTCATCAGGAAGCCATCCCCTCAGCCAATGAGCTCAGAAGTGAAGCACGGCATTGATCTCATCGCACAGCTGAATCTACCCACAGATGGGCGCCGGGTGACCCTGCACTGAAATGGCAGAAGCTCCATCACTCATGACCATAGGAGCGGCACATGGAGTTTAAGATGTTTCACATTATAATTCAACCCCTTTTCTAAGTGCGGAAAACTCTGAAGTTTTGAGAGACTTTTTTAAAAATATAAAAATATTTACAAAGTAGGAAAATGATGAATTGACGTGCAGGCCAAACGCTGTCTGGTGGACAGACTGTCCCATACACGGTGTGGGGGCGGCCAGAGGAGGCGGCCAGGGGCACAGGCTCCGTTCCCCCAGCACCCACAGGGCTCCCATCCTCGTCCGTATCTGAGTGCTAACCCTAACCCTAACCCTACCCCTTACACAGAACTCAGCTGGCATCTTTCAATGAAACCTCGGGCCTAAGCCTACACACTGCATCCTACAGGCCTCACTGCCACTGTTTCAGATCAAGTAGCGGGGCTGAGACATCCCAGCTGGTAGCATCAGAAACACCTGCTATGTCCACGGCTCAGAAGCCAGACTCCAAAGGAAAAGGTATGTGACAAGGGCGACCCGTCCCATCTCTGTTCAGGAGGAACCACCCTCTCTGACGAGACAAAGGGTCCTGGACGAGCACAAACCACATGGCCTCCCCCCCGCAGCAGCCATCCTTGCAAAAGACCAACCAAGGGACCAGAATGAACCCTGGACACTGGTCCCTCAGGAACTTTCACAACCAGACCCTGCTCTGCCGGCAAAATTAACCGTCTCTCCTCCAAGCCTCACTCTGCCCCACCTACCAGTCCTCAGGAGCACAGGTCTCATTCCTCATCAAGCGGCCCTTACGTGTCCACCCTGTCCCGGGAGCACCCCTTGGACAGGCCGCTCGCCTCACTTCCCTCTCCTTCCCCAGGGGTGGAGCTCAGCACCCAGCACCCAGCACCCAGCAGAGAGCACTCCGCGTGTGGATCCTTCGGGGGGACCTGCACACACACACGCACTCCCACACCATTTCCCTGAGGGGTGTGCTCCGCTCCAGCTGCAGGAATGGCCGCGCTGAGACCAGGAGCTGCTGTCCCCGGCTCGGCCCACGGGTGTGCACCAGCCCGCCAGCCCTGCTCACCTGAATGCCATCCAGCAGCTTGCTCATGCACCAGTACGTGTCGGCCTCCACATTGCGCAGCACGTCCACGGGCACGCGGGACACATCGGCAATGTCCACATCCGCTTCCTCTGCAGGGCACGGGAAAGGCTGAGAGTTAACCCAGGGGACAGCGACACGGGCAATACCACGGGTGGGCCACGCGAGGTCTGTGCTCTTCTGTCACCTCTCAGGCCCCATTTTTCTTGCTCTAAGGAGATGATTCGTGTCTCCTCCACCTCATTACTTAATGGTTCTCAATTTTAATACCTAATCAGATGCAGATAGTTAATATTCTGAATCCTCTCCGATTAATTAGCATAATTAATATATTGTAAATGACTGCTGCTCCCGCACGGCACATCCTAATAAGAGAGAACCAACCTTTATTACATATTCCTAACGGAGGTCTGAAAGTTCTCCACAACATTTTAAAATTCAGTTTCTAAGATATTTACATATGCATTCAGTGATAATTCCTCTAAAAACCTATTCCCAAGGTCAGAAGTTCCAAAGTCACGGCAGGTACACCCTTCAATGCGATGAGCAGAGACCCAAGGAAGCAGGAAGGCAGGAGTTTGAGAGAAAGACTGGGCTATGAGGCCACAGCATTCCCTTTCTCAAGAATGAAAATCTAATGAGGAAACATAACTTAAAGGTTTAAAAATGCAAAACAGATGCCTAATCGAAAAGGCCTATCAGGCATGTGAACAAACTATTTTTAGATCCTTACAAAAATTGCTGTCACCAAGCATAATGCTCATACCTGTCTAAAAAATTGTGTATCCTATTTTATTTTATTTACTTTTGCTTTATTTTGCAAATGTGCACAGCATCTTCACAAGGAAAACAGCTGTAAAACTGAAAACATAAATGTTAAAGTGTCAGAGCCACTGGGATATGAAGATGGGGGAGGGTGTGGGCGAGGGGGTGAGGTTATTCCTCAGACCCAGGCTGTGTGCTCAGCAGCCAGGGCCCTGCCTGGAGGCCCAGCATGGCAGCCTCAGTGGGAGGTGTTGTCTTCCTAGTAGCCTAAGTAACGATGCTGCAGGGGCCTAAGTAACAATGCTGCCGGGTGAGCCTGAGTAACAATGCTGCAGGGTGAGCCTGAGTAACAATGCTGCAGGGTGAGCCTGAGTAACGATGTTGTGGCGGCCTAAGGAACAATGTTGCAGGGTGAGCCTGAGTAACGATGTTGTGGGGGCCTGAGTAACGATGCTGCCGGGTTACTCTAAGTAATGAGGCTACAGGGGCCCAAGTAACAATGCTGCAGGGCTCTCAGGGGCTCTCATGTGCTGTCTGCCAGCCTTGTGGATTTAGACTTAGCTCTCTCCTACCCACCCATGAAGACGTTCCACACTCCATCTGGAGGCAGGAGGTGAGCACCATGCAGGGCACCCCTGGACTTGGTCCTAGACACAACCAGCTCGGGCCAGGTGGACTGACTGGGCCCTGAAGGCAACATTCAGCCAAACATGTATTTCAAATAATGGAATTTAAACCAACCTGTTTCACCAGAAGTTTGACTATATTCTGTCTTACTTTCTCCATTAATCAAACACTAACGTCAGGTGTCATCCTGTGTTGGGGCTGCTCCCAGCCCCTCTGGCCCACGACACCACCCTTCAGGGCCCAGGCCCTGTACTCTGGGGACACAAGCATGAAAAGGCAGCTCTGGCCACAAAAAGCTATCTTAGATAAATAAAGAGCTGAAATTTTCGGTCCATGTTTCCAGGTCCAGAAGACAGACCAGGTCAGTGGATAAAGGCTGACAGGCTCACAGCCCAGGACGCTTTGGTGGTGAGGGCTGCCCACCCAGGAGAGCTGCCTAGGCAAGAAGAATGCTGCTTCCACTGACGGACAGGCCACGGCTCTGTGTCCTCGGTGCATCCTCTAGTGCTGGGCCCATTTCATCTGAACCCCACTGAGCAAGTTCCCCACCTGACAGACGAGGCCTGCAAGTGGGCACTGCGCCAGGAAGGGCACAGCCAGGTCACATCTGAAATCAGAGCCAGTGCTCTCTGCCTGGGCTTCACTGCCACCCTGAGATGGGCAGGTCACGGGGCCTCTGACAGTGGGACGGGAGGAACGAGCCACCGCTTCCTGATCCCCCTGTGCAGACACAAATCTAGAAAAGTATAACTTCACTGATGAAAAAACAATCCCTCAGTCACAAAACATGGCTTGTGTTCCCTCCCATCACGTGGAAAAGAGCCATGACAGCAAGCCCACCCAAGCTCTGGTCTCCCAAGGGGGCTATCTCCCAAAGGCTCCTCTGCTCAGGAGCAGGCAGCCAGCTAGAGGAACATCTTGCTGCAAGAGGGGTGCTGGCAGGTACAAAGCCTGACACAGCTCAGTCCCTCGTGGTGAGGCTGATAAGCAGCCTGAGAACCAGAATGGGGAGATGTCAGTGTGACAGTGCCTGGGAATTCGAGGGCATCTAGGACACTGACCACCACACACGCTTAAGACACATGCCTCGAGGGACACAGCCTCGGCAGTAACTGAGCTGACACCTGCTGGTGAGCAGGAGGGTGGGAGCGAGGGACGACTCCAGTTGTTAGGACATTAGTCATTTCCAGGCACAAGCCCCACAATGAGCCTCTTCGCGTAATTAGGAGCTTAACTGAAATCACCAGTGTTCTCCAGTCCTTACAAGCTGCCGGAATCGCTCTGCGGCCTAATCTGCACCGCCCAACTCGGGAGATCTAAGCTGGAAACCTGGCAGTGGAGATTCTAGCACTTAATTACAGAGTTCTTAGATCCCACACAGAGAACACAGTCCTGCTTGGTGAGAGTGGAGCCACAACTCCAGACTATAAATTCATAAACCTCTGGCTCAGCAAAAACAACTAATGTTGTGATGAAATTGGATTAGCGGCAAGAATGTTTAATTCTAATATAAATAATATCCAACTCAAGGTTACAGACTAGCCACCTTCACAGTTCCCGAGTCGGTCACGGGGTGGAAAACCTGCAGCCAAACGCAGGTGCTCAGTCAGTGATGGGACGTCGGCAGGCAAGCCACAGATCAAGGACAAAACCAGGACTGTTTGCTCTGTCCACTAGGCAAGATGGCAGGGTTTGGCCAGACCTATCAGCTTCAGGACCCTACAAGAGACCCCAAATGACAAGGACCAAACTTCTCCTGCCACAGGCAACTCGCAGTGGCTCCCCTCCCCCACCACCCCAAGCACCCTGCAACGGGGGGCTCCAACCTCGGCACTCACTGGGGGCAGCCACCAGGACCGTGCCACCCCCTCAGCTCCTGTCCCAGGCTTTTCCCTCTAGGAGCTGCACCCTCCTGCCCAGACTTTCCCCAACCTGGGATGCAGGTCAGCCCCCACGACACGCAAATGTGGGTGCCCTACGCGGGGTCTCCCACAGTCAGGGGGAGGCAGATGCAGTCCTGGGTCTCCCCCTCCAATCCACCCTCCTCCCGCACGGAGAGCCCCTTTACAAAAGGGCCTGCCCATGGCCTTGGTCGGAGCCGCTTTCCCGCATCTCAATGGCTGTCCCTCTCTGGGGAGGCACACTGGTCTCCGGCCACAGTAAGGACATCTCCCCTTCGGACCGGACAGCGCCTCCGCACAGCCTCCTACCCGGCTCCCCCAGGGTGGCCTCCCCGCGCCCAGCAGAGCTCAGCAGGCTGCCTGTCCCCACTCTGGGTTCCCCACGGAGCCTCACCCTCCAGGCCTCATCTGCGCCGACTCTGTTTCTCTCTACACTGTCACGTGTGCAGGGGAAGAGCAGGGTGCTCTCATCAGGTCCCACAGAGCTTGGCATTTGGTGGCTGCACGAGGGACAGCTGGTTGGAAGGCAGAGCGCCCAACGTGACCCGGACCACAGAGCCTCCGCGGTTCCCTGCGGGTGTCAGAGCGAGGCCCCCGCTGACTGCCCTGCCTCCTGGCCCCTTCCTCTCAACCTACCCAGCTGGCATGCATCCTTCTGGGCCTGGTTCAGGCTGGACCTGCTCCAGGACTCACCAGCAGAACAGAGGAACAGGGGTGGACTTCTCATCACAGTCTCATCCAAGAAGTGAGGAGAAGGGCCTCAGCCTCGCCACAGGTCCCACTCAGGCCCCTCAGGCCCTCCCACTGGCCGCATGCCCCACCACTGCGCGGAACAAGATGCCCTCCCAGACTGCAGACGACTTCCTCATGCTCCCCAAGGCCACACCGAGAAGCAGACTTCAACCCCTCAACCGGAGGGGGACCAGGCTGACCCCCGAAGAGGAGGGGCCCTCTTCTGTCTGGTTAGTCCAGCCGTCTCCACAGACAGGGAGGTGGTCTCTCTAGCCACGCGTGACTCTGGTAAACAAGGCAGACAAGAGGGAAAGCAGCCCAGCTGGGCGTGGCTCAGCATCGGACTAGGATCCAGGAGGTCAGGGTTCGATTCCGGGTCAGGGCACAGGCCCTGGTTGCAGGCCCTGGGCTCGATCCCCAGTCGGGGGCATGCAGGAGGCAGCTGATCAATGACTCTCTCATCACTGATGTTTCTATCTCTCCCTCTCCTTTCCTCTCTCTGAAATCAATAAAGATGAAATAAATGAATGAATGAATGAATGAATGAATAAATGAGTAAATAAATGAGAATTTAAAAAGAGGGAAAGCACAGGCGAGAGCGGAGAGCACTGGTGAAAGCGCATCCGGGTGGAGCCCGCCGTGCGAGTGCCGGGTCGATCACGACTATGGAGAAGCGAATGTCTGCCGAGTAAGCGCCTGCACTGCGGGCCTCTCCTCGGCGTGTGGACGCCGCCGCCTCCCCGTGTCCTTGCACGGCCCCTCTGTGTATGTGTCCTGACCTCCTCTTCGTATGTGGACACCAGTCACACTGGATCAGGGCCCACCCTAGTCACCTCTGTAAGGACGAAATACAGTCATGTTCTGACGTGGTGGGGAGACCTCAGCACTGAACTGGGTGGGGGAGGTTAGCCCATAAGTCACACAGACACACACAATTTTAATAAACCAGAACTGAGGCCTCAGATAAAGTTTCATGTCCTATTATTTTTATTTATATCCTGGTCACTGTCACATACTGAAAAGTGTTTTTTATGGAATCATGTTTAAGGCACCACAGCTGGTGTGAG